AAGAGTGACAGTCATGCTGTTTTAACTACACGCTCTTCAATAAGCCATGAACTCTGTGTTGTGACTGACTTAATAAATTATGTGCAGATCGAGGAGAGCAATGAGATGGGCACAGTGGTGCTCCCGGACATTGACAACAAGGGCAAGCATCCCGTTCATCCAATACCCGAGGTTGTGCTGCCGCCCACTTCCGAGGAAGAACCAAAGACGCCCGAGGTTGGCAACGACGAGCGCATGGAGGAGCCCCCCAGCAACAATCACCGCAACTACAACCACTACCATGAGGAGGATGACCCAACTCACTTTTGCAAGGTCATCCTTGCACCGATGCTTGAGTGCATCCCCATGCCACTGGACTTCACCAAGCACTTCGTCGCGGTGCCGACGGATTTCAAGCTCAGGAACAACACCGGCTGCTCCTGGAAGGTGACGGTGAAGCTGATGAATGGCAAGGTGACCCTGGATCAGGGTTGGGCCACCTATGCAGCCGTTCGTCAGATCAAGATCGGCTACATGGTGACATTCAAGCTCCTCACTCCCGACACCCTCAAGGTCGTCATCTTCGATGACGATGGCATTGAGGTCGTCAACAAGTGCAGGAAGCACGACGAAGCCTTCGCCGCCAAGGACTAGGGCCGGGGCACCTCCTTCCTAAGTACTATCGAGTCTGCTTTGAACTGTTTATAGTTTATGCGTTGAACTGTTATGAAGTGTGATACTGCTTATCTGAATTATGCTGTTAAGTAGTTGATGCTCTGTTTATACTCTGCTCTGCTTATGATGTGTGCTACATGGTTGTGCCGAAGTGTGTTGGTAACCTCACCAACTAGCCAAAGAGGTTACCACACACCATGTGTTGTATACAGCCAAACACCATGCCTTGGGTTTGTCCACTAACATGCAGGCAACCAAACATCAGGAAGTGTGGTCCAGCCCATGCAGGCAAGAGGGCATGCAGGCAACCAAACAACTTGCAGATGGTGCATTTTGAAGCTACATTTGCATAGCCAGACTGAGTTGAGAAGGCTATGCAATGCAGCTACTGTTCACTACTGCAACCAAACACGCCCTTAACCGAGAACACATCGGACAGACACGAGTATCTATCTCCATCCCTCTCCTTTTGTTTTTGTTTTTGAAAAAGAGGTTAAACCCCTTGCCTTTGCATCAATCGATGCATGCAGTCATCTTTTATTAATTATTCAACCAAAAATGCTAGACATACAAACAAATACATGAGTTTACAAACTCTTTTCATCTACTAACCAATCACAAACTTGCTCCCCCCTGATTTTCAGGAGGGGTGGGCCGCCTCCCCACGTATTGACCAATCAAGTTAACTCTCTTTGTAAAATCCTGTAACTCATTTGTACGTGTAGCATTACTTTTATTTAACAAAGGTCTGACAAGAATATACATCAATCCATCATCACGCACACCTACAAACTTGATAATGTGAAGTGCTCTCACTCTCCATATCTAAAATCGGTGTCATCGTCGATCCATCCATGTAACAAATCAGAACCAACAGCCGTTGCAGCAGACCTAAAGCACACATCATATACACACGTTTTAGAAGACGCCATCCCCATCTGACCACTAACCCATCTTCAGAAGAGAGATTCGCATCATCCTTGCCAGTCTGGACATCCTCGACACCATCACGGCGCCCAACGACTCCACCGCCCTACGCTCGTCCGTCCAAACGCGAAGACTCTGGAAGATCTGTCGTGCGTAGCACCTGCCAACCAGGCATGACTCCGCGTAGCACCTGTCGGTCAGGCATGACTTGACAGCTCCACCGAAACTCCGTGCAAGACGAAGCCACTCCACCTCCTGCCTATGTCTTCGAGCGCTGCTCCATGAACGATGCTCCCAATAGAGTAACGACACCGCAGTACCGTCATCGTCCCATCTGGAAGACCAGATCCTAGGGTTTCCCCCGAAGCAGCACGAGTGGGTCGACAACAGTTACACGATGATGCCTTCAACAAGGTAAGGGCGCAAAACACCGCCATTGGCTCGGTTTTCACCGGTAACTATGTCTCCCCAACTCGCAGCCGGGACTAGATGATGGATCTTGAGATCCGACCACCCAGCCTCAGGCCGACCACCTCCGGCGAAGGAGGTGGCCACCACCGCCACGCCTAGGGCCAGAGCCCCCAACGTCCTTGTGTTGCGGGTCGAGCCCAGTGACGGCAATGCTGTTGACGGGACAGGGATGGTACACGACAGCAGGTTGTGCGGCCCGCCGAAACCCATCTGAGATCAGATCAGGCGCCCAAGCCGCCGTCGCTGGACCCGTCGCCGTACGCCGCCGCCTGCATGCCGAAACTGGCCGCCGCCGCCCTGCGCCACTGTCGTATGTCCGGCCGGCGTGGACCGCTGCCCCCCTGACCGGATCTGGCCAAGGAGAAGCGTCGCCGCCATCGCTGCGGCGCACAGGCTTTGCCTGCGAGCCCCCGGCGGCGGCGGCGGTAAGGGAGATGGCATTGAAGAGGACCGGAGGAAGGGGTGAGGGCGCTCCAATGTGGCGTGGCGGCACCTCAAGGGAGCGGGAGCCTGGGAGGTCCTGATCTACAATGGAGATCTAGTTTTCCTTGTTCTGGGGCTTTCAATGCTCCAGACGTTGATGCAATGCATAAACGGACCCGACTTCAACCAATGCTTTTCGCTAACAGTTTTGTTTTTGGTCCAGTACGGCGCGCCAACTGTTAACTGGCTTATTAGACTGGCTGATGCCAGATCGATCACCATTACTGCCCTCATCTGCTTCTACGGTACTACTGTTTCAAGTGCAACAGGCAGCACACACATCAACTTTGCATTGTACTGAACCTGAAGCAAGGACATGGTGCTTGTCGATGCAGATTGCGTTGGGAGGTGTCGGGCCGATGTGTGGCTCGAAGTCAAGGGGGGGCGTCGCTCGTGACCAGCCCTCCTGGCCTGCGCTCGTCCTCGCGTGCGCGCGTATGAGCACGCCCGTTGCCGCATCAGCGTGTGCGGCCGCCTACCCATCGCTGGCCGGAGCTTAAGGTCGGTGCAGATGTACCCTTGGTGCCGAATACGTTGTGTCCGCCGCATGTGGATGTAGTCGATGAAGCCGGTTAGATCAGATCGGAGCGCCCCACTCCGGAGTTGGCTCGTTGTGCAACGAGAGGATGATCGATTTGCCCGACCTGTCTCTTGGCAGCGGCGGTCACGTGCGAGATCGGCGGCGCTGCCGCCTGCACCGCTTCTGTTGGATTTTCTTCACCGAAATTTGAGGGTTGGCGAGTTTATTTGGTGGCTAAAGAAATATATCTAATCTAATCTACCAAGGGAATCGATCTACTGATGATGAACTCGAAAATTGGATCTAAAGCTACGAGACCGATCTAATCTTTGGTTGATCGGGTGCCGCGCCCCCGGGGAGAGGAGATTAATCTCCCCGGGAACGGCGCGCTGCGGAAGTGTTGGAAGGAACCTAGGATCGGTGTCGTGAGACTAACCGCTCTGATACCATGTGGAAAATATGAAACCCTAGAATCATGTGTTGTATTGATCTGACCCAGATGTGGGATATATATAGAGTACAATATGAAGGGTAGAGACTTGGAGTACAAGACAAGTTACATGTGGTTTAAACTAATTCTATCTTTATCTTCTTATCTCTAACTTAAACCCAATTATATTTCTAACAACCAGCACCATTTTGCAGAGAGTGAAGAGATGTGTGACATGACACAGACTGACGATCCGGTGGACATACAACAAGTACTCACCTTCACCTAAGCATGCACGTACCATAATTGAACAGCTTAATGGCGTGATGGCTGGAGCCACAAGTACTCGTACTACGTGACATTATTCGCCTATTCGGTGATGTAATGGCACCATACCATAACATACCATACCAGCTGGTCCATACTCATCAGTCCATGCATGCTCCGGGACGGCGAGCATGGAGCCAGCCAAAAGATGGCTTCATGGCTTGGGCCTTTGCGTGCACTAATCACCTGGGGTTCATGTGGCCTGTCTCCTCGACAGCATATCTATATGTATCAGCATCATGAGTCATGGCTACCCCTCCATCTCACTCACTAGCTAACTCAGGGACCAGCTAGCCACCTGCATTGCAGTCTTCTACCAAGAAGCAAGCGCTCATCATTCCCTTTCCTGGAGCTTAATTAAATGTTACCTAGGTCGATCCGACGAAGTTTTGCAGCTAAACGTGACGTTTTAACCTCCCGGTTAGTAGCCGCTACCGCTAGCCACCCACCAGTTCGTTATGGGTGTCAGTGAGGTGGTTGCTCACCAGCAGGATGATCGGTTCTCAATTCTCATGGTGTGATCGACAGTGCTGACCTGCTCACCTTTCGAATCGGAAACTGCAAGAGCACCCTTTTTGGGACAGTACTAGGTGGGCTACTTAAGCACTAACGGAAGAATCAATGTGGCACCTCCCCTTGGCCTCTCTCTAGCGATATTAATTAGCTGCAGCTAACAACGACAACAATGGATGAACCATCAACATTGGTCAAGAATGAATCAACACACACGACACCAATTCCAGCGATGTTCACCCTCTTTTTGTCAGTCTTGTTCCTTGGTCCCTTTCGTTTAAATACGTCAGTTTTACTCGACAACGACAGTGCAACAAGAGATGGACTCAAACCCGGTCGTCAATCACAAGGAAGCAAGCAAGAAGAAAGGCGAAAATTAAAGAAGAATTGCTCACGACATGGTGTGAGTTACAAGCTGACGCGTACAGATCACATACATGCAACAAGGACATGCCACAAATTCATGGGATGGACGGAGATTGCACATCGAAATTAAGCTCTCAGGGGTGGTAATTAACATTAAGCTGGTATCATTACGTCTAATAGAGTGAATCAACTGTCTTGTTGAGCTCTTCAAGCTTCTTCATCCTCATCCTCTCGCTTTCGCTCACCAGCTGCACATGAAGAGCCGAGTAAAGTGGTCAGTACTAATAATGTGGAAGCTGATATATTTAACTACTCCCTTGCACCACAATACTTGTCGCTGGGGGAACCAGAGGGAGTAATTAAGAAGAAGACGAGGTGATGCATGCATGATGTTGAGGTCAGGTCACCTCTATTAGCCTGTTGACAAGTATGGCCTTCTCCTTGCTCTTCTCGTTGTACGCCTCGAGAATCTCTTTGTATTCTTTCTCCTGTTTTGTTCGTTTTCCCAATTCAAGAACAATAGAATCCACATGTCAATACATATAATGAATGCAGTGAAGGTAAGTAGAATTCCTAGCTATCACGTCCAGGAAGTCCTTGTCACCTTCTTGACGCAGCTCTTGCTGAGAGGCTTGAGCTGGCGGTTGACGGTGTCGATCCGCCGCTGTATTGATTCCACCTCCTTCCTCGTAGGATCGGCCATCCCTTCCAGCTCCTATAGAAAACAAACACAAAACAAAACAAAGCTATATCATTTTTCTTGTTACAGAGTTATTAGTTCCCCGACTGGGCTGAACAAACTGATCATGCATGTTGGTACTGTACTAGTATACGTCATTTTGGGTCTCCTAGTTAATGCCATGAAGCGATCGGCCGTTAGTACTACTTACACTTGGCTAGTAGTATTACTAACCGAAGAAGAGTAGTTTACCTGTCGTATGAATGCTAGGCGCTTGGACTCCTCCTCGACGCGGCCGAGCTGCGCGAAGACCTTGTCCCTGACCTCCATCTTCTTCCTCTCGATCTGCTCCTCCTTGGCCTTGAACACCGAGAGCGCCGACCTGGACGACCCCTCCCCCTCCGACGCCTCCTCGCTGCCGCTGGACAGCGACGACGGGTGCTTCACCCGCAGCACCATCTGCATCGGCGCCTGCTGCTCCACCTCCCCCTGCATCCTTCCTTCCTTCCTAGGTATGGATGGATGGATCGGCACCCCTCGCTCGACGCACGTAACGTAATCAATCGACTCCTCAGTTGCTACTAGTTGGCGTAGTATTCTCTCTTCCTCTTGGCTCCCGGCCACTTATATCACCAACCGGCGGCGAGTCCTTGTCGCTTTTCGCCGTCGCATGCTTATCGTCTACGCAACAGGCAGGCTGCAACATGACCGCGGAACTAGTAATGCGATCGATCCTGCTGTACAGTATAAAAGGGGAAGTGAGGTGAAACGGCTGCGTCGCACAATGCAATGCAATGCAAGGGGGCCCGGCCGGGAAACAAAACAAAACAAAAGCGGAGGTGATTCAAATCAAAGGACGGAAGCATGCATCATTTCAGTGGTTTGCATGCATGTGGCCGGGTGATCTCGTACGTGCGCCGAACCAACCAACGATCGCTTTAGACAGAAGAGAAACCATGTCGATCGTATATTCGTATTGTATTGCTACTATCTGCCCTGCACCTGTAGTTGGCGTTAGGTGAGCTGCCATGCCGTCTTGGCTGGCTGGCTGGGGTCGAGTGCAAGTAACTCTTCCTCTCGACCGCTCGCTCTCGACAGGGATCGGACTGTGCAGCTCGATCAGTGCAGTGCGGGGGAAGTGATTCTGGTGAGCCGGCGCATGCATGTCTCCTTGTGCATATCTTTCTTTCTTTCTTTCTTTCTTTCTTAGGTACCACCACTTGCACTTGGGCGCAGCTTATTTTGAGTTGAGTGGCTAAGCTATAGTGCTAGAAAGGCGTTGCGGCAGCTGGGGAGTAGGAAGACGATGGAGGGGGACAAGCCGTCTGCAACGCGAGGCTTGGATTGGAAGACACACAAATACTGTGGTGTGGACGTGGTGGATGCGTGTTGTCGTCCGTCAGCCACTACAGTGGTCACTAGCTGGAGTGGAAGGCAACATGCTAGCTAGCAGATGCTCTGGGACAACAAGGTCGGTTTTTCTTGTTGAGTTGGTTGCGCTCCTTCAGCTGCAGAGCTGATCGATGGGTGTAAGTGAGAGTGAGACGGACGGGGAAGGAAGGAAGGTGGCCGCTCTCATCTTTTCATCAAACAGTCCGAGGGGAAGAGGGGGAAAGGAGACAAGCCGGAGCAGATTTTTCAACCAGTGCGAGATGTCTCTCTCTCTCTCTCTCTTTTTTGAAACAAGGCAAAAGTCTTGCATTTCATTGATTAAAGGAGAAAGTTTAGACAGAAACCGCAAAGCGGCGAAGAAAAGGACTACTCTCGCAGCATTACAACACCCAAATATTTCGCTCCAGCCAAAGCCCAAAGCAACACCTCCTGCTTGACTTTGTTGATGATGACCATGCAAGGGGTCGCCGAGTTGCGGAAGACTCTAGCATTGCGCTCCAACCAAACCTCCCAAGAGATGAGCATCGTGAGGGAGGCAAGCGCCTTGGGCGAGCCGAGACGGATCTGAAGGTTATCATTCCACCAGTCTCTGGCCGAAGCCCTCTCGCCCAAGTAGACATGGTGATGTGATGCATCCCGAGCCATGGGAGGACGTCATTCCAAATGCGTATGGTGTAGTGGCACTGGAAGAGAAGATGAGCTGCCCTTTTCTTGGGTTTGCATGCAAAGAGGGCATAGACCGTAATTAGGTCAACTGCGGCGGCTCAAGTGGTCTGAAGTCCAAATCCTATCTTGAAGAACAAGCCAAGCAAAAAACTTGCATCGAGGGGGCGCCCACACCGTCCACACAGAATGGACAAGGTCCGAGGTGGCGAGGCCTTCAAATTGAGCCTTGTAGGCCGAGGATGCAGAATATGCCCCATCTTTGGTGAACTTCCATATAATAGGGTCTTCAACGTCGTCATCAAGAGCCACCGTTATTAGTTTGTGCTAAAGGTTAGCAAACTGTTGGATGTGTTCAAAGGAGAGGCCATTTGAGCTGTCAATATTCGCAATCCACTGGTTGTTGGCCATAGCTTGCTGAACCGAGGAGTTTTTCTTGCGAGAGAGATCGTAGAGACAGGGAGCGATGTCATGAGGGCACAATCCTCCTAGCCAAGATGAAGTCCAGAACCTCATTGTCCTTCCGTTTCCCACGGTGACCGTGGTGGTTGCCGCAAAGAAATGACGGTCGTCTTCCGTGCACGGCACTCTCGTGCCAATCCATGGTTTGCTCTTATCTTTCCACTCAAACCATAACCATCGAACTCTCAGGGCCTTAGCAAATTTGTTCAGATTGAGCACCCCCAAGCCACCCTTATTCTTTTTTTTTTTGAGGAAAGCCACCCTTATTCTTTGGTTTGCAAACGAGGTCCCAGTTTACCTTGCATTTCCCTCCAGAAACCTTGTTCGTGCCTGCCCAAAGATATGCACGGCGGATGCTATCAATTTTCTGAAGGACCTCCACTGGGATGTCAAGAGGAGTGAGATGATATATTGCGATGGTTGTTAGGACAGCCTTGACAAGAATCGTTCGGCCTGCAGCAGCCACACGCCTTCCTTGCCAAGGGGGAAGCTTGCCCGTGATCTTATCTTCAAGATGCTGGAAATGGATTCTCTTGAGACGCTTAACAGACAGAGGAAGGCCAAGATAACGCATTGGAAATGATGAACGAACCGCCAGGAAAGCATGAAGAACGTTGTCCAGATTGATACCATCACATCAAATAGGAGCAACAAGACTTTTAGCACAGTTGTTGATAAGACCGGTCGCATCTCCAAATGAAGCCAGGGTGCGAGATGTCTCTGGTGTATGCATATGTAGTTAACCATGAGCATGATAAATCCTGCCCGCCTATAGTACCATTTTCATGTATCAGCTGACATTTGGTAGGAATTTTTGTATTGAGCCTAGGCTAATGTTTATTTTACTTTGAAATTTGAAGGATAGAAACCGATCCTATATAGTAGAAATAGGATTCCGTTTCTATGAACCAAAAAGCTCTAAGAAAAAAAATCTATAAAAATCCTATCCGATAGAATTCCTATGAAATTCCTCTAAACAAAACCAAAGGAGACCTGATCTACGAAACCGTGGTATGAGCTGGCTCAGTTGAAGAGTCAAACTGTATACGGTATGAGTTGACATCATTGCCTTTAGTCCATGTACAAGGCTAATTAGAGCCAATCATCTCTTTGGCACCTCCGTGTCATCTAGTAGGTCCACTTCAGCAAAGACGACGGGGTCGTCACAGAAACATTATGATCGTCATCAAAACAAGGCTGTGCGGACCGAACAGTTTGTAAAGCTCATGCTTCGAATTTGAGGCGCGCCAATGGAGTTTGTATTATGAGCACTTCATAGGTTGAGAGGACTCGTGGGGTACATACAAGGGGATTACCTGTTTTGCATTCAACACAAGAAATACCTCTTCATCTCCCATATAACAAAGCAAAACCCGAAGCCTTGCAGACAAGTCAAATAATCCAGGACATTCAATTTTGCACAGGCCATAAAAGTGATCAACATACTATTTTAATTTGGCAGACTGATGAAGTATCTTTGGCAGCATGAAATTTTGAAAACTTCTTACAAAACCCGAGAGACACCAAACCACAATGCAACACAACATACCAAACTGCAAACGGCAACACAGGTTTCGCAAGTTTGCCACAGATGATCCCCAGCAAAGTTTTAAATTTATAAAAACTATAACCAGGAGCAGCTCAATTCAGACTAAGGTTTATCAGTTCGCTTAAATAAGGTGTCCAATACCGACGATGTACCACTCAAGACAAGGTTTCTACATAAACAGTAGCTCAACACCGCAGCTCCAGCTGGTATATATTTTTTATCAGGTAAAGAAGAGCCCAGAATAAAGCAATCGACACGCGAAATCGATGGATCTCTTCACTCCCCTGGTGCAGAAACCCCTTGCTTCAGCTTTTCCCTCTTGAGCTTCTTCTTGGAGACTGGCTTCTTCTTCTTCGGAGGGAGCGTCTTCTGCGCATACAGGTACAGCGCATAGTTCCCAACAAAGAAAAGCAGCAGGGTGGTAGCAACCACAAGCAGGACTATCATTCCAGGGTTCAGGCCCTTGTTCACCTCTTCGATGATTACATTGTTCTGAAGATAAAGAGATGATCTATCAGAAGCTATAACATACATACTTATGTGAAAACAAAACAAACGTAAGTGCATAGAGCTTGCATGGATAACACCTTACTAGGTTAGCAAGAAAAAGTCACATACTTCACAGTTTCGCATGCTCAGATTATCAATGATCGTTCCCTATATATGATAATAGACACTTCTAATACAGAGCTGTTGTATGCAGTCACGAGTTTGACAACAGCACAAACTGAAGCTTAATTTCAATAGATTAGTAACCCTGAAGTTTCATATATTTGCATGTTTCTACACTCACAGCAGAGACTATTTTAGGAATACAAGAAGTCACAGCTAAAGTGAAGTGAAACAGGATTGGTAAAGCTAAGTGGTCAAAGTGAGAGATGCAGGTTCGCTGGCACAAGGATGCACAGGGACATCCAGAACATCTATCTTGCAGTGTCTGAAACTACACATTCATTTAAAACAACAAAGCAATGCATGCCAACAGTCAATTTCAGTGGATTCGTTAGATAGAAAAATACTCAAAACAGTGAGTTTAGGATGTCGAATTAATCACAGAACAACAACTAGTCACTAAATGATTTACCTTTCGCAGGCAGATAAGTGTAAAACTAAGCATCATTTCAAAAACTTGTAAAACACATGGTATAAACAGTTACACTAAACTATCCTCAGGTAGTCGTGACATAAGCCAGGTAAGGGGGTGCGCCACAAATTAAACAATGAAAACAAATTGGATCATCTATAGAATACTTGAACAGATTAAAATTCACTACTCAGAGCAGTAAACAGTCGCCGAACTTGGCAAGTGAAAAAACAAATCTTTTGAAACAATTCAGCATTTTGCAATCGTTTTTTCTATTGTGAAGAACCATGATATGTTGTTACAATTACCACCGAGAAGACATAAGATGATTGCATTAGTTATTATGCAGATCTAACTATCTACCCACAGAAATACGTATGATGCGCAATGGTCGGCGACGATGCCGGCCACCGCGCGTTTCTACTCGCTACGCAAGCCCCACGGTGACCAAGTAAGCACCGTCGTTTCACCCGCCGGCGCGGGGAGGTGAATGGCAGATCTGGGTGGCTAGGGGCAAGGCAGATCTGCAAACAACTCATCTCGCTCTCTCACATCTATATAAGCTGCGCACAAAGAAGAGCGATCTTGAAACAACGCAGTGAAGAAGAAAGAAGTGGCGGAAAATTCCTTACCGCTGACTCCGCGAACTTCTCCGCCATGGCGGCCACGAGATCTGGACCAGGCACCGCGCCCTCCTCGCCTTCTGAACCGAGAGATTGGATGGATTAGGCCAGGGGCGAGTAGGAGATAAGCACTGGAGTTCTTCGAGGAGGATGGTTCGTAAGATCTGTGGGTTCCAGAAAAAACTCACCTTTGCGAGCAGCTGGGACCTTTCTTTCTGCGGCCTTCTTACGAACTCCCCCCTTTTGTTTGCCCGTATTGACGTCCTCCTCGCGTGGGTCGTATGGGTTGGTTTGTTTGGAAGTTTCTACGCCACGTCAATTGCTTCGCCTTTCTTATCTTGTTTGGACCGTGACAAAATTCTGCTGTTAAGTTTGTTGCCACCACCCGTGTGCTAAACGTGATCGTGGGCAGCCCGGCCCAAAAAGCTGGGTCGGGCTCGAGCTTCATTTTGCAGCCCGAAAAAACATTCGGGCCAGGCTTCCACGTGTCCGCAAAACAAAAACTTCAGGTCCATTTTTTAGTAGAGCAACTAGTTAAGGGGTACCAGAAAAATAAAATTACTTAAGGGGTACCGCTTGGGGAGCCCCTCAAAAGTCACTTTGGTGAGTTGAGAGTGCCTCAAGTGGTCCGTCCAGCTACCGTCACGTATCGTGTGCTGGAAGCTTCCTCAGGATTTTGTTTATTTATTTTTCGCGTTTTTAGGTTTTAGATGGCTTTTTTGTCTTTTCATTTTCTCCTGGTTTTTTGTGCCATTTCTATTTTTTTTCTTTCACGAAAAGTACAAATTTACTTCTTGTGAAGACACATATTTGTTACCGCGAGAAGCATAGTTGTGCCTCTTAAAAGGAAAAAATAAATTTTTTTTATTTCACGAGAAGCACAGTTGTGCCTCTCGTGAAAGAAAAAAAATTGACTTTCACAAGAGGCGTGGGTTTGCGGTTTTTTACGCTCACGTGAAACACAGATTTGCTTCTCATGAAGGCACAGATTTGCTTTCACATGAAGCACAGTTGTGCCCCTGGCAAAGAAAAAATGTGTTTTGTTTTGCATTGTGAAGGCACATATTTGTTTGTGCGAGAAGCATAGTTGTGCCTCTTAAAAGGGGAAAAACGTGTTTTCGACTCGGGTTTTTTCTTTCAGATTTTTCCTTTTTTTCCATGAAAAGAAGATCCATCAACACTTATGAACATGAGATCTAATTTCGAAAATCTCGACGCGAGAAATTTAACTGTCAAATCGGTTCATAATTTGAACGCACGGTTCAAGATATAAAATTATTTGAATAAACAAATCTACGAAAAAATAAAACTTCTAGGTTGTAACATGTGGTGCACATGTAGTGCGTCACTTGTCAGCGCCTGAAAAGATGTGAAAGTAACATTTGTAAAAGGTGTCTTTTAATTAGTGATTTTAATTTTTAGGTTGTGCTTGGAGAAATAGATATTTTGGGGCTTTGAGCCGGTCTCGACCTTGTAGTTTGGGTCCTCCATTCGCATTTTCCGAGGTTTATGGCCTTTTCAGGTCTGGCTCAGCATATGTTACACAGTGCCCATCTTGCAAAGGTGCATGATGTTTTTTGGAAGAAAAAAAAGGATGGAAACTGAGGGGCAAGCATCCCCGGCATATCTATATCTCTTTTCTGGTCTCTTGAAAAGATGTAAGGTTTCCTGTTTCACTTCTATTTTCATCATCCTTTTGTACAACCTTTCTCGTACGATAATTAATCACCTTAATTTACTTATCTTTTAGATTAGTTTTACTTTCTTACTTACTCCCTCTAATCCATAATAAATGCCATAGTTTTGAACTAACTTCAATTTAATGTTAGTAAACTCGTTCTTGAAAGAGTATATTTCCAACTTTATTGAAGGATCAAACTATCTCAAAGTTTGACCGAGTTTATGCAAAAATATGTCAATGCTTGTGAAACCAAATATGTATATGACAAAAATATATTTTATCATGAATCTAATGCTACTAATTTGATCACATAAGTGTTGGTTTATTATTGTATAAATACGGTCAAATATAAAAAAGTTTGACTTTCTAACAAAGTTAGAAGTACATTTTAAGGATGAAGGGAGTATTATTTTTTGACGAAAGCTAATCATATAAATAACACACTAAGAATATCATACCTAATATCTAAATGCAAATAATATACTGCTAATACCAATGTACATTGCACGTACACATTTACGGTCGGAATACTTCATCCCCGTGAGGATCGAACAAAGACTGGCAGGACACAGCAATGTCCTTAGCACTGAGCTATCACTTAGTTCGCCGGGAGGCAGGGGTGACGGGTGTTACTCATGGTTGGCTCAAATCGAAGCTAAATCGGCAGATCTTACCGAGGTTTAGACTCTCACGCCGACAGCTTCAATGGTATTATGCGCATCATCCAGGCCAACAGCCTCTTCGTACTTGTTGAAAGCCGGCTGGTATTTGTCCTTGGCCTGCTCCCGAAGTCGAGCTGCCATCTCGACTGATGTCTCATAGTGACATGTCGCGAGGCACTTTTTTTGAAAAGGAGGAAAGCCATCGGTCTCTGTATTAGAATAGTGAATGCCGCTATTTTATTGATGAAAGTACAAAGACAAAGTCCGAGGTTCAATACTAGCTCACAAAAGGAGTCGAAACGAAGTACATAAGGTAAAAGATGCCACAACCGGTGAAAAATAGGCTACGATGACTAAACACCTAGCCTATTATAAGCACGTCATCCAAATTGGTTGAAGATAACCTGTGCTATCATCTCTCAATGGTTGTACCCAGTAACCAAACGCTTCATGAAGTCCGCATGAGTGAGTAACGACCACGTACGGATCCAAGCAGTGGCTCTGTAGATAACCTGCAAAAAGTTGATAAAATTTTCCCCGTTAAAGATCATATAATTTTTGCAGTTCAATATAGCCCAAAATAGTGCACATATCCCTATCCGAATGTGTCTTACAATGTTTGATTCCCTCCATTCAGCCATGTCGCAAATAACATGTTAATACTACTTGGAGGTTTAATGAAGGCTATATGTATGAATCGTACGCCAAAGCAGTTTGGCTAGCGGACAATCGGGAAAGAGGTGTTGTATATTTTCATCCTGGTCGCAAAAACAACATCGAGAACTACCCACCCATCATCGCTTTAACAAGTTATCCTTGGTTTAAATCACTTCCTTGTGGACAAACCATCTGAAAAATTTAATTCTAAGAGGAACTTTAATCTTGCAGATATAAAGTCATCTCGAGATTGGCCCAGAGTCAATTAGATCCAAGTACATAGATTTCACCGTGAAACTATCATTCCTAGATAATTTTCAGTGAATTGTCTGAAAGTTAAACATCCATCAACCTATGCACCAAGTGCAGCCACGAGTTCCAACGTTCCCCCACCAGAGACCTCATAAATTGGATATTAAGAGGGACCATTTGTAATACTATAGCGACATAAGCTTCCTTATGTTGTACGATATTATATAAAGTGGGATATTGCAAGGCTAAATGCATCTCCCCTAACCATGCATCTTCCCAGAATCTAGTCGTGTTACCATTACCAATGATAAATTTTACCCTCTGAAAAAAGGTTTCTTTCATCCTCATTAACCCCTTCCAAAACGGCGAATCATTAGGTCTAGCGGTAACCTGGGCCAATGTCTTAGATTGTAGGTACTTGTTACACAAAATTTGTACCCACGTACCCTCAGTCTCAATAGACAACCGAAATAGCCATTTGTTAAGTAAGCATCCATTTTAACTTCTAAGTTCTCGACCCCTAACCCACTTTGTGAAGGAAATATGCCCTAGAGGCAATAATAAAGTTGTTATTTATATTTCCTATATCATGATAAATGTTTATTATT